GTTTAATTCGTCAATGTTTTAATATCTCAGCAAATAATAGCCAAGAGTCTTATGAATGCCGTGTATCAAATAATTTGACCGCGGTATATATGTCAATTGACATTGTTAGTCAGTCTGTCATCATTATTAATAAGACAACGCGTGCAAAAACATATAAAAATTAAACCCAATAATGTCAATGTATATTTTAAATTATACATATAGCTTTTTAACGACTCAAATAAAGCGAATATTATTTAATTAAATCAGTAAAATTACGCTTTTAACAGTGGTAGTGCCCGCTTTAACATCTTAGCACGAATGGGCTGGCACGCCCGGTGTAATACCACTACCACACAGAAGACAGGCGTGAAATGGAACCAATGCCGTGTTTCGTCTGATGAGTGTGGTGCCGGAGGCCTAATTTAAGTCCCTTTCTTTTTACCAGCCTTTTCTTATGAGAGGATGGAAAGGGGAAGTGGATTTGACGATGGAGGAGATGCATAGAAAGAGGAAATATCCTCTTTATGTGTGTCTCCTCCTCCGTCTGATAAGGGTAGGCGACGCATCTGCAATTGCAGATTTCTATGGGCAGCGGTCGCTTCGCCATTTTGGTGGATTCGGTTGGCCGCTTGCTCATTTGCCATCTTATGTTATAAAAAAAAAACGCTATAGTTATCGTTCCATTTATCTAATACTAGCTTTCACCCGCGACTCCCACCGTGTGTAATTAAAAAAAAACAAAACTAAGTAGTCTTTGTATTCTTCCAGACTATTCTCTATATCCATACCAAATTTCATTGAAATCGGTTTAGCCGTTTAGACTACAAACTCTAACAAACATCCATCCATATAAACTTTCGCGTTTATAATATTAGTATGATTTAATCTTTACTTAACTTTAGCAATAAAAATTAAAGCTGTTAAAACCATAGACCCTTGTAAAATAACTACTAACAGTTACAGCAAACAGTTAAATGATTTCATAGTCCAGTAAAACCGCAGAAGTTTAACTGAATCATAAATATGGCTAAGTATCCATAAAGTAAAATGTTGGTTAGCGATGAGTTCAACTCTTCTGTACATCGTATACAAAAAGATATAGTCGTCCTTCTCGTTTTCTTAAACAAAACTGAGACAGCTATATATTTTCATAGAAATTCGGGAGTACTCATAATTGAAATTGAATAATTTAGACATTACTGTATCACATTATACGTTAAAATAAATTACGTCTAATTTGATAGTGTGATCTCATAATGGCAGGTTGAAAACAGATAATAACAGTATGTCTAATTAATAAATAATGTTACATTTCGACTGCGAATCTTAACGTAGATGGTAAATTATATGTTTGTAACACAGAACCATATGGTTTAATGACTTTTTTATTAATATTAAACTGTCAGCACTTAACAGTAGTATACTCTAGTTGACTTGAGATAATTCTGTAACAGAATAATTTATGTTACTCTTTTTAATCAATTTGATGCATGTTCTTTTAAGTAAGAACATGTTATCCGGAGAGAAGATCACATAAGCTAGAAAGTATTAGGATTAAACTTGGATAAGAAAGAATAGATGGATGTGAGCGGAAACACGTAAAAGAGTGAATCCAGATATAATGACTGATTTAAATGTATGGAAGAGGAATACATACTGTGCCGACCCTCTATATGGTTAAGTTATGGATAATAATCTACGATTAATTTTTAAGATGTGAAAATAGTGCATTATATTAAATAACAATTTTATGCTCTACTAACTTAACAGCAACTATACCTAGAATGATAGAAGCCACCTACATATTTTCTACTCTTTCTGTAGAATGTCATACAAAAATTGTACTTTTAACATAAACCATATAATGTATTCTTTAACCATAGATAAAATCAATAGAAAACGTATAGATGTGTTGATCTTTGTAGCTGATAAGGGCAATGACCTTATCTCATATAACTAGTAAGCTTAACAAGCACAATAATTACAGTAATTACCTCACACCGATGTCAAGTGCGTTAACGTACAAACGCGAGCAGCTGCCGAAACGGAATTATCCTA